GAGTATCTTCTAAATTTCACGGTCAATAGCCAGAAGCGAAAATACGAAGTGAAAAAATATAAGATACACATTAAAAAATATAAGATACACATTTATTTTTAAATTTATTTTAAAACAACTGTGTAGTCAAAAATTAAAAAAAAAATATTTAAAACAATTTATTACACGCTTAATTATGTGATATCAAATCTCATTTAAGAGGAAAGACTTCGTAATCAGCCGATTACAGAGCCGTGCAACTGTCAAAACAAAGAAAATGATAAAAAAGCCATAAATTCGTCTAGTTAATCACGGTTCCTATCTTCGTACGTGCTATTTGGTGAATTTCTTTGGTCTATCACAAAATCGTGCGCAACAGAAATTAATCTTTACAACTGATCAAACATCTTTAGAATTAAACGCTGACAAATATTTTATTTTATTGAAGAAGTAAAATAAACATGAAATAAGTTGAATTTGAAATTCTCATTTCCCAATTGGTCCTTGCATACACGACGTTTGTATCGTCGTACAAAAAGTATTTGACCATATTTTTTTTATATAATCTCTCATAGATTATAAATTATATATATTTAAACGGCATGTTTACGTTTACAGCAATTTTTACGTTTGAATACAAGTAGAAATTATATTTAAAAATATGCATATAGTAAGCCTTTAACGTGCTAATGAATTCGTCTTTTCAAAAATAATAATAGAAATTGCATCCGTACGCAAAAAAAATTATGAGCGATTAAAAAAATCACCGATTGCAACTATCTCATTATCTTATATTTCATTTTTAGATGTGAATATCGGGACTCAGAGTTGCTGCGTGTATGACGTCCGTCGTGAAGCAACGATCGCGCGTTGCGATTTTGCAGGTCACGTCCGCGTAAAAATAATGACTAGCGATGCGTTATTAAAAGCTCGTACTCAATGCCTCAAAATGCAAACTCGTAAAGTCAAATTTTATAACCCCATATATTCGCCGTAATCACCCCTAAAGTTGGGGCATAATCTCTCCATGACGTCATGGCGGATACTGACTTTCTGTATTATCGAGTGCCACGCTATTTTTCCGTTATCGTCGATTGTGTACGAGGAGAGGCGCTCTTTGGTAGGTAACCCGATAATTAGGCCGTGAACATATACACTGTAAATCAATTAACGCGTTTATTGTCGAACTGGGTGGTGAACCTCGAGGGACTTACAGAGAAATAAACGGGATACGGAGGATAAACCGCGTTCTCGATGATTTTAAATTTTAAATAAATTCTTATCCTTGTTTTTAATATTCATTTTGAAAACGCGAAATAATATACTGCGTGCACACAATAATTACGTATTAGGAAAAATTATGCGAACAAAGACACTACAACTACGGGAAGAGGACGGTTATAAACATACTGTTCTATGTGAATATCCATTTTTTTCCCCCCCACTGCATTTCCTCCTTCTCATAAAAAAAAAACTTGATCATCCTGCTCTGGCAATATATCTAGGAGGAGAAAAATTGTTAGACGTACAGAGTTGCGTGTACAATTCTCTCTAGGAGAGAAGGATAGGTTCGCGTTACTGTCAATTCAAGTTTAGTGGTTAGCCCCGCACACAGACTTTTGCTTCCTTTAGCCCATTTACGGGAACAAACTATTTCATCCGTAAGCGAGCAAAATAACGATAACTTTTAAAAACGAGCAAGATCATAAAAGCAAGAGCGAGCTCCTAGGTTTCGGCTTTGGTTATAAGTTCGTATTATATTAGCCGGGTTCGCATTGCCTGCCGGCCAATGGGGACGCTCGTAAAACCAGGGTTAACATTCGGTCGGGTTGTCAAGTGAAAGAGTGGTTTGAATTTCGTTGGGATCACTGTGAACGACGTTATAAGTACGCTCCTCGCTTATGCACCGTGCCTCGAGGCTCGCGACTAAATTTTTAAAAGCGACGATGACAAACGGCGATGCGATACGTGGATTCTTCGGCTATATTATTATTGAAACGCGAGACAAACAACTGCCCCATGATCGCTTTCTAAAAAAATTTTTTTTCGCAAGTTTTGTAGACCAATCTTTTTAAAATACATAATACATATGCCATTTTATTAATTTACAATAATTAATATTGTAAAAAAGAAGCAATAATTATTTTCACAATCTGTAAAAAAGAAAATCGAGAATTTACACATGTACGAACATTAACAACATTGATCAATTTAACTCGAGAACAGTCCGAGAATTGTTTCTCCATGAAAGATGATCCCTCTTTCTTCTTCAAATATTTGTACAATGATCATATAATGATATAGAGATTTAAAATATACGCATAAGGATAAGCAATAACTTCCTTTACTTAAGTGTACTAAATGCCAGCCTTTGTTCCTAAACTCCGCGCAACGGAGGAGGTCCCACTATCTCGCCGTTATATTTTATTCTATAATTACTTTTATTGCAAAAAAACAGTATCATGATGGTACAGACGATCATCATCAGAGTTCATGAACTTTGATTTCATCGGAATCTTTGCGAAGATCGTTTGTAAAAAAGATATCGCAGCAGAGTCATGTGTTTATCTTTTTGGTTGCACTCTGTGCGCAACAAAGTCGCGTGTGAATTAAAAAAATTAATTATTTTCATACTAAAATATTGTATGTATTAATTAACCAAATCTTTTCAATATTAATTTTTGTTGAAAGTAAGTTAACTTAAATTTATATTTCATAATCGACAACGCAACGACAAATGGGCAAATGATGAATATTTCTATCACGCGTACTAGAATTATAATAAATTATCGTGACAAAGTTTCTTTTTGGCATATATGTATATTTGATATTCTAAAACTGTAAGAAAGAAATTAAATATCGATTTGGGATGTGGTGACCGTGAAATTAATTATTTATCGACGAATTAAAACGATCTGCTGCCACTATTTTTACACGCTTAAGAAAAAAGTTTCCCGAGTTGTTTTAACGACAGAAGCAACGTATTATTGATCCTTTTTTTCTTTTCATTAATGGCGCTATTAAATTCTAGTCCAGTTTTCGCCGAGAACTGCGATGACTGCCGGTATTACGCTAGTTCGCACCAGTGCTATCATACCGTTATAAAATATCCGAGCAACCGGAATGCACGAAGACCGACCGACGATCTATCGCTAAATAACAAGTCTCAATTTGCTCGCGATGTGCTTTTTTTTAAATCTTCTTTCGTTCAACCATATTAATTTAAAACGCATCAATACACTTACGTGCTCATAATTCGTAGGCAATTAATTATCTTCCTCTTTCTTCGCTAATTTTTTTCTTACTATATTTTTAAATCACTTTTATACTTTTTACATAAATAATTCATAGCTTTTTAATGAAAAAAGTATGACAGTCAAATGACGAATATGCTCGAAAATCGCGAACATAAAGATTTTTGGCGTTGATATTAAACAAATTTTCAAAAAAAAGAATGTTACTGAGACTATATTGTTTCCGTTATAAAAGATGAATTTCGTAAACGCGCGAAAGATGGAAGAAACCAGAGATGGATGGAGACTAGAAAAGTGTGCAACAGGTTGGCAATCTCAGTTTTCATCATGCATATATATATATATATATATATATACGTATGTGTATCAACAAGCATACTAAATAGATGATTAGCCCATACATATTAAATAGGTCTATTTCCGCGCTGTGTGTATATAGACTTAATAAAAACATTTCTTTTTGCAAACAAATAAAAAAATAAAGTTTTAAATCAGCTGCTCATAATACATTAATAGGTTACAACTGAGAACCTCACGATATCATCCATTTTACAACGCATTTCAACATTTTACAATATTCCTTTACAAATATAAAGCTGGATAAGAGCTTATAATAAAGATAAGATTATAATAAAGGATAAAAAATATAAAATTGGGCATATAAAAAAAATGATCTTACCTTTAAAAGAAATTTAAAAATAAGCTTTAATAAAGAAAAAATAAAGATTTCTTAAATAATATATAATTTAGTTTATCTCTCTTGTGCAAATTGATTTACTAAATTTGGCTTATAGCTGATTATAGATGTACCATTATGTAAGCAGTTAGATCGAAATAGAAGTTCTCATTCAGATCAACGAACAGAACACGATACAAAAGCAGTCAATGTCATCTGCAAAACGTTATATCGATCTAACAAAACAATCTGAGAAACTCGATAATGTTTGCCAAGAGATACGGGTAGTATCTCACCGATCTATACATGAAAAGTATATATAGTTGTTCATTTTTTGCCCGATGCTATTGAAACATTTGATTGCAGCTTTTATATTTCCGTTTGTGGAATTATACTATAAATATCACTCGTTACATCGCGACGCAAAGATCGCGATACCGATTAGCTAAATAAATCGGCATTGTAGATGTTACTTTAATTTATGTAAAATATTTAAATGCCAAATAAATAACATTTTACGTATCAGCACGTGCGCGTTGAATTGACGTTCGTAAAAAAAATCGTAAATCCGTGATGACGCGACGCGACCTTATCATAATTGTGAGAAAATATTGTCGCTGTGAATAACAATTAGTTCAGTCGACATAAATATCAGATTATGCATGGGGATTTAATCTGTTAGGAGAGTTTTGTAGATACGAAGTATCTTCTTACTTACCCATTTACTTTGTTTGGTATTCGTTGCCGTGTCACTCAATTTCGATCATATAGTTAATTTATGCTACTTATACTAATCATGCAATAACTATTTGAACAGTATATTTGAAAGACTACATAAAAAATATATAAATATAAACTGAAAATTAAGTGACTTATTTCACTACGATTGCTCACACCATACAAAATCAAGATATGTATGCGGATTTAGTGCACTAACTTTGTATTAAAGCTTATGATAAAATAGATCACATCTTTATCTGTGTCTCTACAAATCTTTTATATTTTTTTGAAAATAATGAGATAGTTTATATTTTATGACATGCTTGTCTCATTTAAGCAATATTGAAAATATAGATGTCAATCTTACTTACCATTTGCCTTTGCATTTTTTGGCTCGATTATTTCCTCCTCATTTGTCTTTGCTTTGTTTCGAATATTCTCTTCATATTTGTTCACGAATATTATCTTCATTTTCAACTGTGTTCTTTTTGGCTCGATTATTTCCTCCTCATTTGTACTTGTTTTTCGCTTCTTTTCCGATAAATATTTAGAATAAAACAGCAAGCTCGAATCATCTTGACCTTGACATATCTTGTCAAGATCACCACCCTGAATAACCACCAAAAAATTTTAGCTGTCGCTTGTTATTTATTTAAAAGTTATAAATTAAAAAAGTTTCACGAATTACACAAATTAATTTTCGGATATATACATTTAATAAAACTTACTCTTATTATCTCCTCATTTGCCTTTACTCTTTTTAGCTCCATTATTTCCTCCTTTTTTTTACTTGCTTTTCGCTTCTTTCCCTTTCGTTTTTTAGATACCTCTTCATTAAATGTACTAAAGCATGTATCTAAAATCTGGCGAGGTATCAAGTGTTTATTTGTCTCGGGTATAAAAAAGGCCGGTTTTGGAGAATCTACTAGGTCCTGTCAAAAAAATCAATTACCAATTAATGACATAAGGATATTGAAAAATGTCATAGTTATAAAATATCACTAATTCTTAGATACCTCTTCGTTAGATATAATTGAGCATGTATCTAATATCTGGCGAGATATCAGATGTTTATTTGCCTCAAGTATAAGAAAAGGCTTTATCGTTTCTGAAGGATTTATTAGGACCTGTCGAAGAAAATCAATTATTAATTAATGACATAAAGATATTGAAAAATGTTGCAATTGCGAAATATCATAAATTGTGTATAATCTTCAATAGCAAAATTAAGAACTTGTTTGTTCTTAAGTAAACTCGAAGAATAATCGTTTAGTTTTAAACGTAAAAGTGACAAGTTAAAAATATAAATTTATATACCACGAGAACTTCATTTTATAATTGCAATTTTACAATAAATATATTTATACAAATTCAGTACCTTAAGCCAAGTTTATCGAATAAAAATAAAATCAATAAATGTTTAGTCAGAGTTTCAGCTATGTGACAATGCATAGTATTTTTATAGATCGCCAGCAGATATATATCTCTTTAAAATATATATCTAAATATCTGCGCCATTCTTGAAAAGATTATTTTGTAATCACTTTCGAACTGTGAATAAACGTTGATAGCGTCATCAAATTTAAAATGCGTATTTATAATTTTACATAGATTGCATATACATACATAGCATATGTTTGCCGCATAATAAATGACGCGATAATAATTGTTTAAACGCGCTAAAGATTTGCATATATGTGCACATATGCAAATAAATATAAATTCAGTAATATTAAATTTGTATTCGTGTGTTTATTCTCTATTTCGTTTTATTAAATATAATGCTTTTAAAAACTTTTTTAAGATCAGTAAAAAATTTTAAAAATATTAAGTGTATAAGCTATTATCTAAAAATACACAAAATATTGCTTTTGAGGATATAAGTTTAAATCATCGATAAAAAGCGCAAATAATTTATCCCCCTTAAAATCTACTCCGATTACCTTTGTATAAGTACTAATCAATATTTTGCAAATTATATATAAGATATTCCCATAATCGCGCGCTTAATCTTATTAAAAAAAAAAAATAAATAAATAAAAAGATCCAAAAAAATACTAACATAATGAGGTAATTTTTTTCCTTTCATCAATTCTTCGTCTTGTTTCGACGCTCTGGTCTTTTTTGTTTGAACTGCTGATTCCTCTTGCATTGTTCGTCTTTGACAGCAATCTGCACATATACAAAGCTGGCCTAGGCAGAGCCTCTTGTGGTCCGCAGACTGTATCTGTACATTATGATTTCTGCACAACGTGCAAGTTGGTAGCCTCCGATCCTTCTTACTTGAAGATTTATGTGAGCCTGCCACTGATGACTTTTCAGATCCAACCATATCGTCAATATTCATGGCGCTTATAGAATTCTTCTATTAATGGATGAAAAAATCTTCTGTTTCTTTCTTAAGATAGAAGAAAATCAGATCTCTTGCCGATGTCGAGAAAATTCAGATAACTGCCTAGATGAAATAACGGTCGTTCCTGTCTTTTCCGCTAGAGTTGTAGTTCATAAAACACATTTTTTCATATTGCTATCCAATCTTTATATTTCTGTATTCTGAAACACACAAGAAAATTTTGATCATTTAGATGATAAAAAAAATTAAAATTAAAGAATTGAACTTATGGCAATGTAATAAGATGTCCTCAAAAAATAAAAAAATAAAAAAGTTTAACAATGTTTCCTAAAGTTGAAGCAACTATTTATGATCCTGAATTTATTTCAATAAATGAATTTAATCTAATTTTTCGGTATTTGACATTTCGGTATTTTACATAAAAGAGTAAATTAAATTCATTAATTTATTAAAACATAGTGTTAAATTCACAAGATAATTCTTATATAACAATATTGGCCGTATTCTCTCTCTCCCTCTATCGAGCCGAGTATAGCTAGCATTTGTCCTGTTGCTCCGATAATCGATACACAATATATCGTCAAACCTATCTCGTCTGTGTAGATTATTCATGATGGATCGATACAATGTAACTTTTGCAACCTGTCCTTTCACGATCATCGACTTAAGAATCGTGAAATAAGCTGGTGCATTCGCGATCAGTCTATGTCACTAGAAACACCACTCGGAGAATAAAGAAACACTTTCTATGTACCTCGGTTATAGTAACATGACGGTTTTCTTTGCCTTTGAGAAGGACATGTCAAGAAATAAATTTTCAACCGACTAAAATAATCAACGTTATAGCGTGATAGCTTATCTGAATTTATTTTTATACTGATATGACAAAAGTAAATTACATGTTAATTAATAGCATTCGCTATTTGTCACTATTAGATACCTGTTATAGATATGTCTGTATCACACTTTTAAATAACACGCATTAGGAATAAATTAAAAACCGATTTTGTCAAATAAGTATTGTCCTACATATTCTAATAAATTTTGCAAATAATGCTTATGTTAGCAAGTGATATAGTATTTTTGTGAAATAATATTTTGTTTTCTATGTAGACTAAAAATATTAAAGTAATAAAAAATAATAAAGAAATTTAAAAGTGGCTTTTTAAAATCAAACATAACTTTTCCTTTTGATTATTATGTTTTTATTTTGTATGCATAGATGCAAGTAAATGACAGTTTTACTAAAAATATTCTGTTTCTAATGTTCCTATTATTTATATTATATTAATCAAAAATTGATAGGTAATAACGATTTTAAAAGCTAAATAGCCAAGTATATGATAAAATAATCGAAATGCTTCGACGATAATTATGTAAATCCAATAAAACAACCATTTCTGATCAATATTGTTACTGCAAATGTAACATGCAAATATTAATTAAAATTGCCAAAGAACGCAGTATTTAAAAATACGTTGCGTTTGTTATAAAACAAATGTAATAATAAAATTTTGTAAGATCTATTACTAGCGGTTATTTGTGTATATCTGTGTCCAGATAAAGGATACCCAAGCCTGAAATAGATAATGGATAAACTACATCTACAAAAATTATGATAAATTCTGACACGGCTCAAGCCACTGTGAAGGACACCGGGAGTCACGATCTCGCTAAGGTAAAGATAAATTTCTACTGACGCCACCACAGATGGTCATGGCAGGTAAAAGATACGGTATACAAGAGATACAACGCATCAAAACCCTCCTCATTAAACACTCACGACTCGTCTAAGAACGAAGGACCACAAATTACACGTGAGAACAACGCGAACACGGCAAAAAAAAATGTTATTTAAATCTTACTGTTTTTATATTAATAATTTCATTATTTGTCCATTTTTTAAGATATCATTTAGAAAAAGTAGAATTTAAAAACAGAAATACATATATTTTAGTATCAGTAAAAAATAGTATAGTAAAATGTTAATTAATCGTCATTAATTCAATCGATAATCGAAAAAAACTGAATCATTCAAAAAATAAACTAAATTAATGAAATGAAAAACAGTTGCATTCGATTTTCCAATTATCCGGCAATTCTAAATTATTTCGTAATGTATATTATCTCTAACTGGTGTACTTAGAACAAAGTAAAACAATCCAAGAGCATATATAAAGTATTATCAGAAGCTATGTACTGTGTAAGCAATATCAATGTAATCTCCGCAAAGTTTTATGAAGAAAATTGGCACGAAAAATATATTGCGTGTAAATATCAATACAAATTTATTTTGCACAAATTCTGATTATACAATACAGTAATCCTTGGTAGAATAAATGAAATAAAGGTTCAAACTATAAGCACAAAAAACTTGATAATTGACATAGAAAGAAGTTTCGATTGCAAAAAATGCATCTGTTTTAAATAAAATCGTAGCGTATAGCCAATTATCATGATCTTTTTGCAAGTACGGGATCTGGCAAATATTCGTCATTATCAGAACCCTTCACGTACTACAATTCTTAGAATCAAAGGAAAATGTGAGTCGTAAAATATAACGCCGTAGTTATCCAGAAAAAACAAAACGACGATCAGATTCAAGTGAGTAGAAACAATTGTGTAAAAATTTACTATGCTATAATGCATGTGTCTGCTATATTAAAATTTAAAACGTAGATAAAGACTTCGCGAATGTTATTTTCAAGCCCGTATCGTGATTGAAAAACAATTTACATACAATCGCTAAAGTATATGGAATGCGCAATATCATTATTGTAACGAATCTTTAATAACGTATGTTACACATTAGAAATTAAATTAACACGTAAATACGTGAGAATACATTGTAATAATATATATACTAATAGAATATATAGCAATTTCCTATATATGTATTAATTATTTTTATTTAAATAAATAATGTTATTCGCATTCAAACACAGAAACATTTTAAAAAATTGTAAATTTCAATACTATATAAAAGTGTTGTAAAAAATCATCATCAATGATTCGAGTTTTATATAGCATAAATAATATTGGCAGTGATCGTTGTTTTCCTCCGCGATAATAATGTCGGAGGTTTAAAGTTTAAATCTGCATGCGATACGAGTATCGCTTGCAAAGTCACGTAATCCACAATATCTTCCGCGATAACACGACGAGCCGATTATTCATAGATCAACTCTGATCCATTGTAACTAAAGGAAACTATTATCTATAACAGGAAATCGTGTAATATAAGTTGATCTGAAATATTATCTCATTTCCTCAAGTCTACGATGAATAGCATTAAATTATACATTCGTGCAATCGATTACATAATTATTTAATCTTATTTGTGGTTTAAAAAAAAGTAATTTTCGTAAAAATATTTCTGTGATATCTATTAAATCAGTTTTTTTTTTTTCGATTAATTTTTTGCTTTATTGCTAAGATTAATGAGCTAATCGATCACTCTAATTTGCACGTATCGCAAAGAATTTTATTAACTCTACATTTAAAGAAACCGCATTATATTGGAACATAGTGTCTATAAATAATATTATAATAATAAAGACATATCTCGAAACTCAAAAACAAAGATAGAAATCTTAATGTGCTTACGAAGGCAGATCCGACTAAGCCAATTACGCATAGTAAATTCGTGCTGTGCACGCGAGAGAGGCTCGGAATAAATCGCATATATATATGTACGCTGCGTCTCGATGTTATCGCGATGAAATCGCCGCGAACGCTATTCTTGCGAATAGATCTTGGTAGCGTGGAACGCGAACCGCAAACGTAGTAGAAGAAGGGAATACATCTTCGCTCGGTTACATTGTATTTCGTTCACGCGACTTTTTAACCGACGACGACTTCCTGGCATGTCTCGGCAGATGCCATCAGATGTGACGTACAGTCACTCGTAAAAGTATCCGGCCATTTATAAAAACACAAAAAAATGCAAATATTTTTAGTACAGTTTTAACAATTTTGTACACATGTATACGCATCATTTTTGTTCGCATTCTTCCCGTTATTTTTCATAATTATTTTTTATTCTTATTAAACATAAAAATTATCAACTCGTATTTTAACAAGAAACAATAAATTAATTTAAATATTAAATTTTAGACAATGTAATCATTGAAATTACTATTAAAAGTGTACTTTTTGTGTTTCTCATGCTTATCCAAATACTTTCATGAATGACTGTATCAGAACGAACGAATCCGTCTAATCAGACTTGTTAGATTTCATTTTGATCTCCTCTAATATTATCTGTCCACACTTCGTCTTTTGCATTATGTCTCGATCTATGACAACTATATTCCTTTTTAATTCTCTAACTTGATATATTGGCACAGAAAATTATAAAAAAATATAGAACTCTATATATCGTATAAAAAAAACTCTCAATTGAAATAAAAATATATATTCACAGGCAAGATAATCGCGTTTGCGTAAAATGTTGCAGATAAAATGACAAACTATAGATATACCTATTAAAAGATGGTATAAATTTTTAGAACAATTTTCTCATTGCGTTCAATAAAGTTAAGTGACTGATCTAATCCTCAGATTGCACTTGTCTTCTCTTGCGTCGATAAGGAAATCGGTAGGCGACTGAATAAGAGATCACGTGGAATCGATTAAACCATGACGCGACTTGTCTAAGATACAATTGCAGGAAGTTTCCACGAAATAAAAGCACGAGGAAAACATAAAACAGATTCGTGCGAAAACTCTAAGAACTTTGCCCTTGTTGCCCAAATGGATGATCGAAAGTTCAACGTCATCATAAAGTTGACATCATCTACGTATTGAGCGCGAATTTCTCAAGATCGAAAGTTGGTTAAAACTGTTTCAGAATGCATATTTTATATTGCTCTTACATTGATTACGAGCATGTACTATACACACGCACACTCTCTATTATATAATCCTTATATAATTGAAAAGATTGGCGCGCGTAACCGAAATGCAAGAATTACACTAGAGTATTCCCTCGTTCCCCTTTCCTTGTTATATGTGATATTTTTGTAAAAAATCATGCGAAGAAAAAAATATAATCTATAGAAAAGTTTTTTTCAAATATAATGTGTGTTGCATCAATCATTATCATTCTGCGCAATTGCTTTAAATGCCTCTCAGCTTGAGCATCATGTTATCATGCAAAAATAATGTATGCTAGTACTCTCTAATAAGTTCCTACCTATAAATTATTTCATGGAAGAGAGAATAGTTGAAAGTTATAATATTGCGATTTTATTAATACGTACTTTAATCAAAATTTCAGGACCAATTCTCACCTACTTCAATATTATACAATTTTATCAATAATATCCAAAATATGTTTTTATATTTGTTTATGCCAATGTGCTTTGTTTAGTATTCGTTTCTATAGTAACAGTTGCTATTTGTGTAGTTTTACCGAAAAGAAAATGCGCGCAGCGTCTGTTGAAATGAATATAATAATAGATTCTTCGAAAAGATAGAATTACCTTGTTATTTTATCTCTCTCTCTCTCTCTTTATTTTCGATGCTGTTTCCGTGTAATGAACGCTCCGTGGATAAATTGGCGGCGGTCGTGCGAGGGTCCACTGGTTCTTGACACACGCGAACACTGTATCTAGCGATCACGCGAGATCCGTCCGACGCGGCTCTCACGACACAGCACAACTCGAGATTGAGAAATCCCCGTACGTGTATCGCATATACGCGGAATCGTCCGCGCGTTTCGCCGGTTTATACAAATCCGTCGGCCGCGACCAAAGTATGCCGACGTAACTTGAAGTCTGCCGCACGTGTGCGCTTGTCAACGATCGCGCGGAGTTATATTGCGATGCGCGCACTCCGACGGAAACGTATCTCGCGTGCGTAAGTGATACACGCACGTCGCTGCACGAATACTTGCACGTACACACAGGTGATAGGAGAGGGGAAAACGTTGCAGGAAGTCTCCGCCTCCGGAAATGCACAATCCTCCCCACTACGTCACTTTTTTCGCCCGCTTTCTCGTCCCTTCTTTCTTTTTCCGCACCTCTCTTTCTTCGATCTCTTATATCCGCTTATTATGTACGGATATATTTCTGACAGTCTTATTAGTCCGTTTCTCGATAATAAACGGTCTTGCGAACGCACGACAATGATACGTTTCGAAAGAAGATAGCACCAAACACGAGCGATAAAAGAGTAGCAAAATACTTATCGCACACGCGCACTTCAGTCCAAGGTCTCGTTTCTCCTCCGCGTCGCGAATCACACACACTGTCCTTTTGCCGTTTCTCGGATATACATTTTTCTTCTATCTCGTCAACGATTATCGAACACTGGCTCGATTCTGTTTCTCGAATCCGTCGGTACACACCGCTGAGAAAAGATCGATGGTCGCTCGAGGTGAGTGTCCGATCGGTGCTGACTGGTACGCGATTACAAAGCGGAGGCAAAGAAACGGCGAAGCGAACCGAGACACACTCTCTGTGTCGGGAGCCGTCAAACACGCTCGATCCGCGCCTGTAGTCCGTAACTCACTAAGAGAGTACTGGTCTTGGTCTACTGGTAGCGGGTAGCGGTCGCGAAATACACGTTGGCCGCGAACGGCGCGTGGTGGGGGAGCGCGTCGTGGCGGGAGATACGGCGATTATTCCACGGCGGAGCGCGGGAGGGAAGGGGTATAGAATATTATAGAATTGTGTTGTCGGTTGTCGATTGGCATAGTGGAGGTGGTATACGAGATTCTAGACGGAATGCCAAGATTTTACGATTGAATCCATCTAAACGACGGAGACGATCGACCGAACGTCGCGTAGATTATAATATATATCGTCTCTATGCGATGTACGTCGCATGCTGTCGGACGTGACTCGACACTCATTCGCATTCCTAAAAATAAATAAAAGAGATGTAGTTCACATATAATTTACATTCATAAATTAAATAAAAGATATTTAAGGATTCAAGATATAGAATTTCTGTGATAATTGCGATGTGTAGAAAAAAATTTAGAGATTTAATTAAACGCGAAAATATATGTGCATTGCATGCACATTTTGTTTTTGTAATATATTAATGCGATGTAGTTGTTTTGTAAGATCTCTTGTTTGGAAACACATCGATTGATAAAAGAGCAGAAAATCGCAATATTAAATTCTTTTTGCTTAAAAATTTTTCGTAAAAATATAACAATGTTAAAATATGTTTAGAAATATAGAAATATCTTAATATTGTAATTTTACATAAAGTTATATCGACACACATTGGCTGTATTATTCTGTTATTGAGAAAGTATTCTACGATTTGAAAATTCGAACGACACTAGCATCAACTATTTCTTCGCATTTACGAATGCATGCATAATATCGTGTCGTAGTCGACATAGTAACGATTGATTAGCATCGCAACCTTGCGAATTTGCGGCTATTCCGTAAGTCATCAATTGAACAAACGCGAAAATAAAATACAAAAGTGTCAAAGACAAAAGATGCGCAATTATATTATTTCAAATGCACAATTAATGCGCAATTATATTACTTCTATAAGAATCTATTGTCTGTCAACTTGTAATTAACTCTTTGTAAGAGTGAATTTATTGACCGTACCATACACACACGAGACAGATTTCATAATAGACATGTTGATAATTTACGATTTTTATCAATAATGTTTACGTCGCGTATTACAATGACGTTCGCGCACATCTGACATTTATTATATATACATCGATTACGCGTGATATTGCACTTTATAAAGCTGTAATATTTTTTTATTATTTCTTACACATTCTCTGATTTTTATCCTCGGCAGGCTCGTAATAGCGACGTCGCGGCGCATTCCAGAAATCGTCGTATAATGCACTAAGTATGCAAACAATGCAATCTAAATAACCAAAGACGTGAGGCGTATCGTACCGAGATAGGTGGGGAATAAAATTCAAATGAAGAAAGTGCATGTGTGTGTGGCGTTCGCATGCAAACAACTCACGATCGTAAAACGAAACTAGTCGTGGAAAAAGATTCAATACATGTATACCCGTTTTTATGTTAATATTCTTCACACACGCACGTGTATATCTTGCACATATACACACTGTCTCTATATATATATATAATAAGATTCTTTTTATCCATGTAATGAAAGAGACTAATACTATCGTAATAGTTGAATTAGAGATGAAACATGTGTCAAAGATCCATGGGACATGCGTGCTCACTCGAATTTATGACATACTATTGATTTTCTTAGCCGTTATAACGATTATGTAGTTATTCATTGAAAATTTTATTTCGCGTATCTTATGTGTGACTGTCGTTATTAAAAATTATTAAACAATTTCAAAAATTGCGTTACAGTCGCCGTCAAGTAAAATGTTAATATAGATAACATCAAACGTACGTTCAAAAGAACGTTGTTAAAAAAATGTGAAACATATTTTCAGTTAGTCTTTCTCGCTTAATTTAACGTACATATTTATATTCTGCTTTATCAAAAGCATGGTATTAAAAATTGATTATTTCTTTGACACGAAATTTATACGCATTGAGCAATATAATATTATATTTTACAAGCTATAAGTTTTTGAAATAAATGTTTGTAGCGTTGATTAAAATTTAAAATAAAAAAATTACTGTTTATTATTTTTCTTTGTAAATATTGGTCGCGAAATAGAAAATGTTCTGATCCACGGTTGAACTTTTGAGCTCGCTATAATTCTAAATTCTTATATCAGAAACAGAGAGACAGCATCATAAATTCAGTTTTATTCCTCACGTTTATGTATGTATATATACATATACATAAAATAGTCAGAAGCTTTTAAAACATTATAGACTCCGCATCAAATTCGATAATAAAATCAAGATTTTTATCTTCGCACAGTTATTTTTGTACTCTCTTCGCGTAAGAATTTATGCATTTCTTGTTTCATCACTTTTTTAATTTCGCCCAATTTCATTATAATAATTATTTTGTTATTGCACCATTCGACTACGAGTCGAAAACCAAGAAAATTTGTACCTTCATTATCGGAGAAAAAAGTTTGGGGATAGGTATCGCGTTCGGCAAATATAAAATGAGAAAAGACATAGAGCAAAGGAAGGCTGATTACGTAAAATATCGACGAAGTAGAACCATAGTGCGATAGTTAGAGTTTTGACAGATAACCGAGTAAAGCTTGGCGGTGGCCGTCATTGAGGTCGAAACGGACTTTATTTGTTCCGGAAATGCCGGCGCAGCATTGGAAATCTTCGTACGGAGCGATTTTCGGATATCGAATTGCTTCGGGAAAGATTGTAAATCGAAAACTCAGAATAGTTCGATACGAAACAGGTAAGTTCAAAGTTGGGACTCTAATCTAACTCTAATTGGCGCGCGACAGGAAAAAAATAATATACATATTTTTAACGTATAGAGATTTTTTTCTCTTTTGCAAAAACTTATATTACTGAGTTTTTTTACATCTCAAGTAAATAAGAGGGTGACAAAATTATTGTGTCACATGGTTTATAGATTTCGTATCTTATAATATACGCACGTGCGATTATTAAATATTTTATACATATGTTAGTAGAAGGACATTGCAATCAAGCCATTTTTCCGCTAGTATGTCTAGTTGTCTTTTAGCATGTACAAGTGTGACAAATAATCTTTCGAGCGTAAAAACTTAAATAACTCTTGAATAAGCTACCTGTTTTGCAATATAACTCAACTGATCCGTGTAAAATATGTATGCTATTGGTTAATAAATGCAATCTTTTAAACTTTTAATCTTTTAAATCTTTTAATTTTTGACATTCACTTAACTATTTAATATTACAATACATGCAAAGTATGTTCTCTCTACTAAGAGTATTTACGCTTTATTTTACTAATTAATATTTTTAAAGCCTGCGATATGTAATCTTTTTCATTTACTGGGATTGCATATCATCATTCGCCAACTGTAATGATCTAAGAAATTTTATAAAATCTCAATTCTATCATTAGAAGCTTGGAACGCTCGATAACGACGGTTTTGTCACGAAAGGTATGCAGTGTAATTTTTAATAACAGCGTACAGCACGACAGCATATGTTGCGTGACGGACGAAATATTAGGCTCGTAATAAGTTAAGTTTCGTACCACAAGGAACGGGTAACAAGAGCAAATCGCGATAAAAGATATCGAACCGTACACACGCTACTCGAGTGTCAAGTATGAAGGTGGAACTCGCGATACGGCTCTTGCAAATATTCCCGTAACGATGGCACAGCGCATTCCACGTGGTAACAGCAACAGGATGGGCAGCCAAAAAGGAGAACGACACATCGTGATTGGCCGGAGACCGAATCGCTCCGATAAGGAATCATATGCGCGCGGCATGTCGCGAGATATGCGCCCGAGCCGAATTCAATTTAAGATGCGTAGTAAGATCCCCACAATGAGAGAGCGATGATGCAGCGGAACATGTTCGATTATTTATTGTCGCGATTAGTGAGCCTCATCATAAATCACACGTAAAGGAAATCGGCGAAAATTCATAATTGCATCGATCAAGATATATTTGTAACGTGTCTGTCTTTTCGAATCGAGCAGCATGCATACTAACTGGTTTTTTGCATTTTTATATACTTGTGGTGCTCGATCCTTTCAGGACTTTCTCTCGATTTGTAAAACAAAGGGTGCATTGAAACTGTTGAGGAACAATTTCGTTTAGGTATTTTTGTCTCACAAAAATATCTCATCGTCATCGATTTATATTCTGGAGCATATCTTTTGTATGTCATATGCATAAATTTACATCAAATGAGAAGTGTTTAACTTTGTGCATTGCAAATCGATGAATAACTTGCTTTATTTATCACCATTTTTTACATTATCGAATGTAAAAATCGAATATATGTATATATATGGTTATATTGAACATATTTTTACTTATTATTTAAAAAAAGTATATTGTCACATATCTTAGAAAATGTTCTATATGCTTTCAAGATTGATATCATGTGTGATAGCTTGTCAACAATATTGAAAATTATATATAAAATTTTTAGTTGAGGGAGAGATATAAATGTAACTATATGTTTTGTTTTTGTGATTCGTGTAAAAGATATAAAAGTTACAGAAAAGAGCTGCAAATATTGATAGATAAAAATATCATTTACAATATACATTTTTTCATCTATCCTTTATAAATTCTCCGAAGAGCGAGTGCAGCAAAAAGTCATGTTATATTTAAAAAACAAAGTAAAAAATATTTTCTTGCGGAAGAAGAAATGAAAAAGAAATCTTATATTGACTTGCAAAGATACGATATATAAACGGGATAAGCAAATATATATATATATAGTAAGAGAAGAACGAGGTAATGGAGAAAAGCTTAAGAGTTTTTGGATGTAAATAAAAAACCGGTTAAATTGAGTTCTTATTTAAAATGTGAGAAATTTTTACTTCATCACACCACCAACGTGCATTTGTACCCAAGAAAAAACTATATGGCCAATATTAATACGAGTCGATATCGATTCTATCTGAATGGATCAATAAACGTGTAAAGTTACAATAAGTAAAGTTAAAATCGTTTTTCAGTTATATGGACAT